GCTGTCCATGGCTAGTCCCTTGTCGGATAGCCTGTAGCCCAGGAAATCCACCTCCTTCACGTCGAACTGGCACTTCTCCAGTTTGGCGTAGAGCCTGTGTTCCCGTAGTCTCTGCAGGACCTCCTTTACGTCCCTCTCGTGAGCTTCCTGCGATTCCGAGAAGATCAGGATGTCATCGAGGAAGCATACGCACTTCTTGTAGAGGAGTCCCGCTAGCACGTGGTGCATAAATGCTTGGAAACAGTGGGAGCCATTTTGGAGACCAAAAGGCATAACTCTGTATTCATAGGTACCCAACGGCGTGAACATGGCCGTCTTCCACTCATCGCCCTCACGCATGCGTATGAGATTGTATGCTCCGCGTAGATCCAACTTGGTGAAGATCTTCCCCTTCCTCACCGTCGCGAGCAGGTCGTCAATCTTGGGCATGGGAAAAGCCTTGGGCTTTGTCATCGAGTTTATGGCCCGATAGTCCACAATGAGTCTCTTTTGGGGCGTGTCCTTTTTCTTCACGAAAAACACAGGACTGCCCCCCACTGCTTTGGATTCCCGGATGAATCCCCGCTTCAAATTGTGCTCTATGAACTCCCTGAGTTCTTGCATCTCATCCTCAGACATGGAATACAGCTTGGCAGTCGGCAGCGTCGCCCCTGGTAAAAGGTCAATCGCACAGTCGTAGGGCCGGTGGGGTGGCAACTGGTCAGCTTCTTTTTCGCAGAAGACCTCCAAAAACCCCTTGTACTTGTGGGGGACTGCCTGCACCATGCCGAGGTGTAACTGCCGCCCTTCCTCCTGGCCCTCCTCCTCCTGGCCTGTCTGGATGCAATGTTGTGCGCAGTAAGATGAGCCAAAGGTGAGCTGCCGCTGGTACCACGCTAATGTTGGACTGTGTCTATCCAGCCAGCTCATGCCTAACACTATAGGCGTGTCTGACAGGCGGGTGACATTGAAGCTGATGACCTCGCGATGATTCCCAATCTGCATCACCATGGGCGGCGTCTGTTGTACAACTTGCCCGCCCAGCAACTTCCTGCCATCGACCGTGACGACGTTCAGGGGCAGTGTGGCTGGTAGAAGCGCTATGCGATGCTGCTTGATGAACTGCACCCCCACGAAGTCCGCGTTGCTACCGGAGTCGATTGTAATGGGGACTTCCAGGGTGGTTCCATTGGGCAGCTGGAGCGTTGCAGTGAGCTGCACCACTGGCTTGGGTGGTAAGGGGTCTGTATGCTGCAAAATCGCTGGGGACTGCTTTACTGACTCGCCTGGCTGAACCCCAGCATTTCTGCTTCCAGCCAGGCACTGCCGTTTCCCTGAAGCTGCTCTCCGTGAAGCACCTCTTCTGTTACTGTTGCTAATGCTGCAGTGTGCTTCTGGAGCCTCTGGGGACACTCTTTGGCCATGTGCTGCACACTGTCACAGATGTAACACTTCCTGCTCCCTCTAGGAGGCTTCGCCTTGACTGCACCGGACGCTGGGGCTCCGGCCGCTGTCTGAGCCTTAGCACCACCAAGCTCCATCGGTTCCTCCCCCTGCCTCAGCAGAGGCGAGGGATGCGCACGGCCCAGATCCCTGGGAATAAAGGGAGGCGCTTTAGCTGGTGCGCGCACCTGGCGACCCTCTTCACTGTGCCAAGGACGTTCTTCGTGCCGCACTCCAATCGTGAGTGCCCTCTGCACGACGTCTGCTAGGGTCTGAGGTCTGTCTCCCCTGGCCAATTCATCCTTTATGGAGCCATGGAGCCCTTCCCAGAACAAATCTCTCACTGCTTTGGAGTCCTTTTCCCAACCCAGTACGTTCAGCAATGCAAAAAAGCGAGAATGGTACTGACGCACTGTTGCTTTGCCCTGCTGCAATCCATGCATCTCCCGACGCGCCACATCAACGTCCACGGTAGATTGGAAGCAAGCGTCCATAGCTTTGATAAATTCGTCAGAATCTCTGCGGGCAGGACCATCTTCGCGCCACAAATTGCGCAGCCAGGCTCTAGCTTCCCCATGCAAGTGGGACACAATAAAACCCACTTTCTCCTCCTCATCTTTAAAGTCTTTCCGAAGCAAATGCAGCGCATATACGACGTCTGCTCTGAAACTGGGATAGTGCTTCAGGTTCCCATCGAAGTGGGCTACTAAACTGCCCCCCCCGCCTTCCGAGTCCGATTCCCTCTGATCTGGACCCCGGGAACCCCTCTTTGCACGCACGTTCCCACCTGACTTGCAGATCGTGGCATCGCGCCTCCGCTTCTTCACTCTTCTTCTGGGAGACCACTACCGCAGTGGAAAGCTCGGAGACTGCGTTTCGGAGGGCTGCTAACTGTTCCTCCGCATTCATGGCTGCCAAACTTCGTGAGCTTTGCAAAAAAAAATTTGCGTTCTTTGAGAGAGGGGACTTACTGTCAGGGCTGCCTCAGGTCCCAGCTCACAAGAGACCAACGCCAAGTCCAGTTTATATACAAAAATGTTTATTGAAGTTCATTGTACGCTCCACAGCCGAGGCGCGCAGCCCCACGTCTGTTACGCTTAGACCGCTGAAGTCCCCTCTGAGTCAGTCCCTCCTCTGCACCAGTTTAAGAGGGCTGTGCTGCTCCACCTCTTCCTTTCCTTCCTTTTCCGCAGGGTCTTCCTGCCCCCTGGGGTTTCGCCCCTCCTGGATTCCCCTGACGCGGAATCCCCAGACAGCTCTTCCCCCCTCCTGCGTGCTTTGGGACCTGGCTCCTCCTCCGGGCTCCCTGTTCTTCCGCGCGCCTCCACATTTGAACTTGGCGCGCGTTCGCAACCGCTAACCTTCCTCTTGACAGTTACACTACTCCCTGCACTACTCCCCTCCCCTTCCGGGAGGATGTCTTGTTCCGATCTCCCCTCCCTCTCTGCTTTCGGACCTGCTTCTCCTGTCACTCTGGAATCTCCACCCCCTTCACTGCGCTCTGGCGGAGAAGCCGGTCCCGACTCCCAGCTCCCACTTTGGGTTCCCCCGCTGGTCCCCTGCTCCTGACGAGTCCCCCCTGTGACTCCCCTTGGCCTGACCACAGGCGCCCCCTTCTGGGAATCCTCCGATTCACTTGAAAGACTCACGGAATCCCTCAAGTCATCGTCATCCTCTTCCTCGCTGCCCTGGGATTCTTCCCCCTCGCTCTCTGTCTCCTCCCTCACCTGTGCCTCTGTCCCTGAACCCCTGACAGTAAGTGTTCCGGTTTTTCAACGTTTTTCGGAAGTCAAATGTCCAATGAGGTTGTCATTGTCAGCTATTGTTTCTGGGGCACCTGCACCAATCAGAAGCCACACCTTGGTTTTCAAACCTTTTCAGAAGTCAAATGGACTTCCGGAATGGATTAAGTTTGAGAACCAAGATACCACTGTATTTGGCGCTTTTGTTGTTGCTATTTATTTTGCATTTTTGTTTTTGAGGCTACTGATTGATTATTGTGTGACTGCAGAAATGGATGAAAGCCCCCCATCCAAACAATGAGTATCATCAGTGCAGGTAAGAAAATTTTTATTTTTTATTTTTTATCATCTACAATACTGTCTTATTTATTTTATTGTACAGTACATTGGTTATTGCTTTCATTTTATGTCTTGTTAGATTGTACAATTCATGTAAAATTGTTGTTTTAGGGGTTGTTTTTAAAAGTCTGGAAGGGATTAATCCATTTTGCATTACTTTCTATGGGAAAGCGTGCCTTGGTTTTGGAATGCTTTGGTTTTGGAATGGACTTCCGGAACGGATTAAGTTTGAGAACCAAGGTACCACTGTAGGTCAAACCTTCTCATGCAGGGAATCTGCTCCTACTAGCCCCAGAGAAAACATTCCGAAGTGTGCTTGATTCACCTTGAATCCCCAAGAGTGAAATTTTATGCATGTCTACTCAGAGGAAAGCCACAGAGTTCAATGGGACTTGCTCCCTGGTATGATACAACCGTTTAACTGGGAGTAAGTCCTATTGAATTCAGAAGGAGCTCCCTTTGTGTAGATATGCATAGCTAATGTATTGATAGTATCAAAAATAGGAGTGGCCCTACAGATGTTCAACTCCCAGCATCCCTGGTGCTTGACCTTGCTGCCCTGGGCTATTGGGATTTGGGAGTTCTGCAGCATCTGGATGGCCAAAGGTTAACCCCCTGGTTCTAAAGCATCAAACATTTACTTTTCAGCTCTTAATTGTTTGTAACTATTATTCCTTTGGGAACCTCTCCACGCAATGTAGAAAATGAAGACTTCTGGGAATTTGAGTTTATAAGCACCTAAGAAAGCATCTATCTCATCAGGTAGATGATAGATACCCATGACAAAGAGTGTTAAGAACAGCTTCTTTCTCCTGCTATTGCCTCCTTGTGTTTATCTTCCCTTTTTATTTCCAGAAAAAGCAGCACACAAACATTCCCAGAACTCTGACAGATATACTCTGAAATCTGTATTGTTGCTCCTAATGTCACACCAAAAGAACACATTCTTGCATGCACTTTAATTTCTGTTATTAGTGGGAGTTTTGTTTTGTTTTTTTAAGTATACAATTCCTAGGAGATTCCAGTGTTCCTTGTTGGATGGGAAGAAATTTGAATGCTCTGCTTTTTATCGTATATTAAAATAGCTTTTTATTTATTTCTTCACAGGCTGAAGAGAGGAAACACAACAGGTAAGTCCAGCAAACAATAGATTGTAGGCAATAATGGATTGTAGACTATATTAGTTGAAATTAATGAGCATGATTGGGGTCCTTTATTTTTCAACAGGTCTACCGTGAGTAAAAATTAGTTGGATACAACATACAGTGGAGAAATAAAGAGTGGCCATAGACATAAAGACCAGTGAAGAATGTTGAGAGAGAAAAGTTTTGCTCCCTCTCTCATAAGATTAAAGCTTGGGGACATCCACTGAAGCCGGACGTTGGAAACCCAGGAGAGACAAAACAAAGGACTCCACATAGCACATCCTTGACTGATGGATTGCATGTGTGTGAATGTGTTTCTTCTGCTTGATCATTCCACAACTCCACATTCACCATGGGACTGAGGAATCAGAGCAGCATGGAGCAAGTGGCCGAGTTCATCTTAACTAGTTTTCAACTTCCTAGACACCTGGAGCTTATCGTTTTTGTGGTGCTTCTTGTTGTTTTCCTGATAACAGTAGCTGGGAATATCGCCATCATCACACTGGTATGTTTGGACCAGCATCTCCAAACCCCCATGTACTTTTTCCTCTGCAACCTCTCGCTCATGGAAGTCTTCTTTGTCACATCTATTATCCCCAAGATGCTGGTGGACATGGTTTCCCTGAGCAAGGCCATCTCTTTTTTGGGCTGTGTGGCTCAATGCTACTTCTACTTTGTCTTTGGCACGTGTGAAACCATCCTTCTTGCTGTGATGGCCTTTGATCGCTATGTTGCCATCTGCAGACCACTTCACTATGCCATCATCATGAATAGATGGGTCTGTGCCTATTTGGTCTTTGGCTGCTGGCTTGCTGGATTCCTTTCTCCTGTTGCCCCATTCATTTATTTCTATCCACTATCCTTCTGTGGCTCTAATATTATAGACCATTTCTTCTGTGATTATGTTTCAATGCTAAAGCTTTCTTGTAATAATGTACATTTCAATCTAACTTTGGCTTCAGTCCTGTCCTCAGTGGTGCTCCTCAGTTCTTTGTTTGTCACTCTTCTCTCTTACATCTACATCATCGTCACCATCTTGCGCATGCACTCCACCAAAGGTCGGCAAAAGACATTTTCCACCTGTGCATCTCACATGACTGTTGCCTCCATTTTTTATGGCAGCTCAATTTTCATGTACTCTTTACCCAGCCAGGGACGCTCTCGGGATGTCCAGAAAGCAGTTGCTGTCCTTACTGGAATGGTTACCCCATTGCTGAACCCTTTTATTTATAGTCTAAGGAATGAGAAGGTCAAGGAGGCCTTCAAAGACTGTCTGAAGAAGAGGAAAGCTCTTTGATGTACCCTTTCCTTTCTTCATTGCACCATCATGATTCAGTTTGTACAGGTTGATTAGTATGTGAGCAAGTATGTGATGGACTGCTGGTTGTGGTGTTCCTTCTGAGCTGAAGGTCTTTTTGGGGGGGGGGGTGCAAGTCCTGTCTTTCAGCTACTATATCACCAGCAAATGATTGCATGAACATTGAAAATGCAAGGTATCACCAAGTATAAAATGGTTATAAATAGAAAACTGGATAACTGGGAGCCCGTGTGGTGTAGTGGTTAAGAGTGGTAGTCTCGTAATCTGATGAACCTGGTTTGTGTCCCCACTTCTCCACATGCAGCTGCTGGGTGACCTTGGGCTAGTCACACTTCTTTGAAGTCTCTCAGCCTCAGTCACTTCAGAGATTGTTTGTTGTGGGGGAGGAAGGGAAAGGAGATTGTTACCTGCTTTGAGACTCCTTCGGGTAGTGATAAAGTGGGATATCAAATCCAAACTCCTCCTCCTCTTCTTCTTTTTCTAACTGGGTATGACGGACAGACCCCGGGTTAGCCTCCTATTGACCCAGAAACCAATCAAGACTGTGTCTATTATTTTCAAATCAGGAGAGAGGAGTGAGTTAGAACACAACGGTTTAAATATCAAATAGGGCTTTTCTGACAGTGAATGTTTGTTAGGGCTTAGAGAGTACCTAGACAAGGCGTAGTTCAGAGCCTGCTTAGGACTGAATTAGAAGTTAGCTAGGCAGGGCAAGCTAGATCATTTTCATGAGGGGAACATAAAGATCTTAGAAGGAACTGGGAGTGTTTTACTGGTTGATGTTGGCACCCATCTGTCTCAGGAGACAATGCAGTGGGACCAGACCACTAGCCACTCTAGAAGGCATTGTTGTATTCAGGGAGAGGTTCAAAGTGAGAATTTCAATAAAGTTCTGTAAAGAGTGAGTGAAACAATGAGCTGTGCCTTATTTTGTTGTTGTTTAGTCGTTTAGTCGTGTCCGACTCTTCGCGACCCCATGGACCAGAGCACGTCAGGCACTCCTGTCTTCCACTGCCTCCCGCAGTTTGGTCAGACTCATGTTTGTAGCTTCGAGAACACTGTCCAACCATCTCGTCCTCTGTCATCCTCTTCTCCTTGTGCCCTCAATCTTTCCCAACATCAGGGTCTTTTCCAGGGAGTCTTCTCTTCTCACGAGGTGGCCAAAGTATTGGAGCCTCAGCTTCCAGTGAGCACTCAGGGCTGATTTCCTTAAGAATGGATACGTGTGATCTTCTTGCAGTCCATGGGATTCTCAAGAGTCTCCTCCAGCGCCATAATTCAAAAGCATCAATTCTTCGGCAATCAGCCTTCTCTATGATCCAGTTCTCACTTCCATACATCACTACTGAGAAACCCATGGCTTTAACTATATGGACCTTTGTTGGCAAGGTGATGTCTCTGCTTTTTATGATGCTGTCTAGGTTTGCCATCACCTTTCTCCCAAAGAGCAGGCGACTTTTAATTTCGTGACTTCTGTCACCATCTGCAGTGATCATGGAGCCCAAGAAAGTAAAATCTCTCACTGCCTCCACTGCCTTATTAGAGAACCCATTAAGCTGTATCTCTCATCAAGATTATGTAAATAAAATTCTAGTTTTGTTCCAAAAGTGTCTCATCCTTACTTTGATCCTCTGGGAGGGGATAAGCGAAAACAAGTGATTTCATAAAATCAGTTACCTCTAAAGTAGGTTAAAGTAACAGAAGTATAAAATTGGGTCAGGTGACAAGAAGGCGGGGGGGGGGGGACACACAGATCATGTCATCCACACATACCCAATAAAGGAAGTAGACTTTCCTCCCAATTATTTCCCATCATTTTGAGTGGAGGGTAGTAAATCTTCCTTCATCATCACCACCAAAATGCCTTAGAATAGCAATAGATCTGGGTACTGTGAGGAGTGAAAAATAATGGCCAGGCTCCCATCACACTTGCTGCTGCCCCACACCACACCACTTCCAAGCTTGGTGGTGGTTGTTAGTAGAGAGAGAAGAAGCTGTGGTAATGGTGAGCCCCACCCTCAGCAAACTGTTCAAGAGCCCCTTCCTGGATAAATTTTGCTGAAATGGTTCCCCCTCAATTTCTCTGTTCACAAAAATGAAGCATGCTCATTTCCTGCTGGGATTAGTAAATAGAGCAGAACAGAGCTTTCCTTGACTATCAGCCAAGGAAATGAAACTGGAACAACTTTACCTCGGATTTCAATATGACGATCATTTGTCAGGCTTGATGGAATTGATGATTAAAGAATGAGTAAGTAGGGTTGGCATATGCCCATAATTCCCCGGACATATCCAGGACGTATGGCAAGTCATGTCGGCAGTGTTGTTTTTGCCGATTTATCGAAAAATAGCTCCAAATAGCTAAAAAGTAGCTCCAACTACTTCGGGGGGGGGGAGGAATCTCAATAACTTTTCTGCCTGGATTTTGTGAAAAATGGCAACCCTAGATGATAATAGCCCCCATGGGAATCTCATGTAGCACCGCCGAGAGAAGGAAGATGGGAAACCTCAAACCCAAGAGCAAAATGTGTAACTCTCCAGCCTTTCTATCTCTTCCATGTAACTCTCCCAAAGCCACAAGTCTCATTTACTCCCCAAAGTATCATTTCCATGGCTGTTTCACCTCCTATTCCAATGCAAACACTTTCGTATTGCTGTTCCAATTCTTTGAATCCTTACTCATGTGACCTTAGAAAAGAGAGAAGTAAGGATCACCATCAGCTCATGAGAGCTGAGACAGCAGTGTCCTAGTGATGGTAGCACTGCGTTTGTTGGGACAGAAGTGGGATTGAAGGAGCTACAGGTTTTTGGTAGCCCCATAGGTGTAGGTGCATTGCTGCCTGACCAGCTGAGTGCCACAGATGGGTCAAAGTTAATGCCTCTGCACACACAAATCTTGAGTGGCCACAGAGACACACTGTCTCCTACCTAGTATCAGAGAGCTGGAAGGGACCTCAAAGGTCATGTAGTAGCAGTAGCAGTAGCACAAACTTTCTGCTATTGCAGAAGATCTGCTGCTTCTCGCCCAAGAAAAACAATTCTGAACTGTGCTTGAACCATCTTGAATCCCCAATGGTGAAATTCTATGCATGTCTCCTCAGAAGAAAGCTACATTAGTTTCAATGGGACTTGCTCTGCAGCCCTGTACATGTTTACATGGGAGAAAGTCCTACTGAATTCAGTGGGAGTGTCCTCTGAGTAGACATGCACTGTCAGTTGAAAATAGAAAAGAATAGAAAAAAGAATAGAATAGTATTGAAAATAGAAGTTGTAAACCATATACAGTGGTATCTCGGGTTACATACGCTTCAGGTTACATACGCTTCAGGTTACAGACTCCACTAACCCAGAAATATTGCTTCAGGTTAAGAACTTTGCTTCAGGATGAGAACAGAAATTGTGCTCCGGCGGAACGGCAGCAGCAGGAGGCCCCATTAGCTAAAGTGGTGCTTCAGGTTAAGAACAGTTTCAGGTTAAGTACAGACCTCCGAAACGAATTAAGTACGGTACTTAACCCGAGGTACCACTGTAGTGCGAATCTTCAACTCCCAGTATCCCTTGATGTTGATTATGCTGATGGGCCGGTAAGATTTGGGAATTCTTCAGCATCTAGATGGTGACAAATTAACCACCCTGGTCTAGAGCGTCTAATATTTTGCCTACTAATTCTTAATTGTTTGCAACCATTATTCCTTTGGGAATCTCTCCATGAAATACAGAAAATGAAGACTTATGGGAATTTGAGTTAGAAACCACCAATGAAGGCACCTCATCACATAGATATCCTACAGATACCAGGGACAAAGAATGGTGAGAATGAATGCCTTCTCTTGCTATTATTCCATGCCCCCCACCTCCTGCTTTTTACTTTTACTAAAAGCAGCACACAAACATCATCAAAACTCACATAGACGTGCTCTGAAATCTGCATTGTTGCTCCTAAGGCTGCATCAAAGAGCACAACTTTTCTATTTTGGCATTTGCTTTGATTTCTGTTATTTGATTTTGTGTTTTGCTTTTTAGAATACAATTGCCAGGAGCTTACAATGTTCATTATGTGATGGGATGAGATTTATGCGCTCTGCTTTTTTATTTAACACATTTTAAAATGGCTTTTTCTTCATATCTTTACAGGCAGAAGAGAGGAAACACAACTGGTAAGTTCAGTACTTAGTGGACTGTATCCGATATTAATTAGACTGGCCTCATTGAGATTAATGAGCACGACTAAGCAAGGTCCTTTAATTTCAACAGGTCGAAAGTGAGTAAAATTTGTTAGGTTACAGCTTAATGTTTCCCTCCTGTAGCCTCTGAACTGTCACACTGCAGACTAATACAGAACTATTTATGTATTTATTTTTCATGGTATTTCTATGCCATCCCACAACTAAGGTTATCTGGGCAGTGTACATAAAAAATAAAGTATGTAGGTTGATCAATCCACAGATAAAATACTAAAGCTGGAAACTCAAAATCCTTTTAAAAAAATGAACCCTATATACATTTATATCCCTCTCTCATAAAAGTAGGACGGGGACATCTAATAGAGAAGACAAAACAAAGTCCTTGTTCATTTCCCCCCACCCACTCTTCTCTCTATACTTCTGTATCGAAGTATCATCTGTGCTTGAGATATTTATCTCCTGAGTACATTGAGTTCAGTGCATTTACTTAACGAGTACACATTGAAATCAGTTTATGTTTTTTAGGTACCTCCCAAATGCACAAAAACAACCAAACCACAAGCAAAGTCAATGAATTCATCTTGCTGGGCTTCTCGGTAGACTGGCAGGTGGATATCGTTTTCTTTGTGGTGCTCCTTTTGGTCTACATGTTGACCATCACTGGCAACGTGGTCATCATTACTGCAACATGGGTTGACCGCCGACTCCACAGCCCCATGTATTTCTTTCTCTGTAACCTGTCCTTCCTGGATGCCATGGTGGCCACAGCCATCGCTCCCAAGATGATGAAGGACTTTTTATCAAAGAAGAAGGCCATATCCGTATCCGGCTGTATCGCTCAGTGTTATTTCTACTTCTTTCTTGGCACCACTGAATTCATCCTCTTGGCTGTCATGTCCTTGGACAGGTATGTTGCTATCTGCAACCCACTCCGATATTCCATCATAATGAATATACGCTTGACAATCCAGCTAATGCTTCTCTCCTGGTTTGGGGGCTTCTTTTCAGTCCTTTCTCCAATCATCATTATTTCTAAGCTACCTTTTTGTGGTCCTAACATAATTGACCACTTCTTCTGTGACATTGAGCCATTGATAAGACTTTCCTGTGCTGACACTGCCCTCCTGGAGATGATTGAGTTCTCCCTTTCGACCATTGTGCTCTTGAGCTCTCTGATGCTGACAGTGGTGTCCTACCTGTATATCATCACCACCATCCTCCGCATCCAATCTACAACAGGTAGGAAAAAGGCGTTCTCCACTTGTGCTTCCCATATCACGGTGGCCTCCGTCTTCTATGGAAGTGCTATCTTTATGTACATCGTGCCCAACAAAGGCTTTTCCTTTGGCCTCAAGAAAGCTGTGACCCTCCAGACCTGTATTGTCACCCACTTGCTCAATCCATTCATCTATACCCTGAGGAATCAGCAGGTCAAGGAGGTGCTGAAAGACACCGTGTCCAGACTCCCATGCACCACAAAGAAGCTGAAGACAAGCTTACCAAGGAAGGAAGGGTAATCATCAGTGCTGGATACAGCTTAGCCCCCCCCCCCCAATTCACTATTAATATACTTCTTCTTACCAGGGAGAAGAGTCGGTGGAAGAAGATTGGAAGAAATTTAAAGACTATCTACAGAAATATTGTAAAATTAATGAATGTTAGAATGATGTTGGATAAGAAGTTAAGTGGTTTTTAGCTATAATGCTATAAGGAATATGAAAAAATGGATTATTAACAGGTAAAAATTTAATGTTACAATATTTTAAGATTAAAGACTAGGATAAACAAAGAGGGAAAGGATTTGCTGAACTAACAAATTGAATTGGAATACAAAAAAGGGAGGTGTGAGGAGGTCCGGGAAACAAGCAAATGAAAGATAAGTAATGGAAAGATGGAATTGTTTTTAACTATTTTTATTTTGTATTTTTCTTTTTTCTTTTTTCATTTTGTAATACTTTGAAAATCTTAATAAATATCTTTAAAAAAAATATTAATATACTTCTTCTTAATTGTATTTCAGTTCAAAAATTACTTTGATAAAATACATATTTTGTTATGTGCAAATGGGCTTTAGATACCTATTAGGTCCATAAATTACAATTCAACACAAAAAACAACAATTTGTTGTTGACAAAGGACAGCTGGACATATAAAGGGCCCCGTTACCTTCAGTAGCTTAGGGCCTCATCAAACCTAATTCCAGCCCTGATAACCATCGCCATTCAGTGGAGGATGAAAGAGAACACACAGACATTGGAGACAGCATCCTCCTTCTGCCCAATAGCCTACTAGAAACCATGTGTCCTTCTTTCCTTCTTTTTCCCTGTTGCATTCCTGAGTTTGAAAAACATATTGAAACTTTCCTTACATCCAGGAAACATAGGAACTTTTAAAACATTCCCGTTTTCAGGAGCTCGTCCTACTCTCGAGTAGGACACTGGCAGAGACACATGCTCGACTGGCATGTTCCCTCCCTCCTGGTCGATCGTTCGGGAGCTTCAAAAGCTTTCTTCTGCCTGAACATCACAGCCACTGATGCCAACAGACACCGGCACGCTTAGGGATCTGCAGATTCTTCACAGCTCCCGTAACAGACCTCAGCAACTCAGCATTTTGGTGTCATAAAAAAAAATTAATGAATGCTAGAAGAATGTTGGAATGAAGTGATATGGCTTTAGTAGAAATGTTATAAGGAATAAAATATAAATAGATTAATAGAGTATTAAAGGAAAAATAAGGTTAAAATGTGTTAAGATAATTATAGGATAGAAAACAGGGGACGATGGAAAGGAATTGCTGAAATAATTAATAGATGTGGAATACAAAAAGGGAGGTGTGAGGAGGTTGTGGAAATATGTGAAAGAAAGAAAGATAAGATATTGGGAAAAAATTCTTTTTTTCTTTTTTTTTCTTTTTTGCTTTGATGTGTTTTTTAAACTGTTTTTGTTTTGTCTTGTTAGTTTAATGTTTTAGTGTTTTTTTGTATTGTAATATATTGTTTTTTCTGTGCTTTTTCTTTTTTGTTTAAATTGTTGTAAAAGTAATAAACATTATTTAAAAAAAAGCAACTCAGCATTTTGGCTAATCTACTTTATTTTAAGTGCATATAAACACACACGGAGCACTGCAACATGGCTCCTTCTCTCTCTAGCATCAGACAGCAAAGGGGGGGGGGACAAAGGACAATAGTCCCACTTCACAGAACGCAGTAACACAAACTTCCTGTCTCCGTCACTTCCCACTCTGTGGAGTCAATACATACATCATCATGTGATAGACAAAAATCCCATGACTGCAATCATGGAGCAGGAATTCTAACACCCAGATGTTTTGAGAATTCTATTCCAAACATTCAATTTACAAATGGTAGTTTTAGTTTTTTGAAGCCTACTGCATAATAAGTCAATGTGTAATAGAAGGAAGAGCCACTTCATCAGCTTTCCTGAGAAATGTTCTCCATCTCCCTCAACCATCACTTGGCAGCAGACATTCCATAAGGCTACAACAGATGGAGGGGGCAGGGTCACTCCATTGACTCAGCCAAGAAACATTCAACTTTTGGCCACTCCTCTTTTCCAACTATTTCCATTCCAGCTGATTGTTATAAGGACTTTGTATCTAAGAACTAGTGACTGATTGCCCTTTCCCCATTCTCCCTCTCAATGTGTGTGTGTGTGTGTTGTAACTTTTAGATTGTAAGTTTGAGGGCAATGACTATCTTATTTGGGTTTAATTTTTTTCAAAGAAAGAAACAATAAATATGGCAAGTCATTTCTATTACTATCTAATTGAATTCATTTTGCATGTTATAAAAGCCGTTCTAAAATATTTATGTGTTATTCTGTTGTCTATATTGAAGATTGCAAGATTAGGGAGTGGGGTGGAATAAAATCATAGTTGAGAAGTGTCATGAGGGGGGAAAATCACTTCCGAAGGTCCGTTTTCCAGGTGGGGAATTTACCAAAAATAAAAAGACACACACAATTTCAAAGGAAAAACCCCAGAAGACTAGAGCATCTTTAATACCACTGCAATAGGACCAATATTACAGGAAAGAAAGGTAGATTCATGGTACAAACATACAGGGTTTATACAATGGTACCTCAGGTTACAGACGTTTCAAATTACAGACGCTTCAGGTTACAGACTCCACTAACCCAGAAATAGTACTTCGGGTTAAGAACTTTGCTTCAGGATGAGAACAAAAACGGTGGCGGCATGGCGGCAGCGGGAGGCCCCATTAGCTAAAGTGGTACCTCAGGTTAAGAACAGTTTCAGGTTAAGAACGGACCTCCAGAACAAATTAAGTTCTTAACCAGAGCTACCACTGTATATATGTTTTCTGCTGCCAGGGAAGTTCCCTGGCTTTATTTACATATTAATATCTAAAACAAACAACTCCCACTACTTTACAAAGAAACACATCTAGGAACATTTGTAAGATTAAATACCAAAGGGATCTGTGATGAGCATTTGAATTTCCTAGCTGATTGATTCAGCTTCTTGCAGGGCCAGATTTAGGTTTGATGAGGCCCTAAGCTACTAAAGGTAATGGGGCCCTTTATATTTCCAGCTGTCCTTTGTCAACAACAAATTGTCACTGTTTTTTTGTGTTGAATAGTATATGGTAATTTATGAACCTAATATGTATCTAAAGCCATTTGAACTTAACAAAATATGTATTTTATCAAAGTAATTGTTGAACTGAAATACAATTAAGAAGTATATTAATAGTGATTTATTTGTTTTTGGCGGGCCGAAAGAGAGTGGGGCCCTAAGCTATAGCTCGTTTAGTTTATACATAAATCTGGCACTGCCTTCCTGTCAACTTAACATAACTTAACATAACCTTCCTGCCAATAAGATTCAACATATATCCTGGCATCCTTAAAATGGGAGATATTAGGCAGATCTGACAGGTTTAACATAATCAATTTTAGCTGTACTGCTGTGCTGAAGTTTTACATGGGTTTCCCTTGCCATCCTGCAAGGCATTTAAATAAAGTTCTAAGCTTCTTGTGCCTTCATGTGTGTGTGTTTGACTTTTTTTTAATGTAGCTGCTACCTTGTTTCCCTGGGGTGAGTTGCAAATGGGGAGTCTGGCTAGGGAAGCTCATTCTGACGCAACAGGGGAAAGTGTCTCTGAGAGAAGTCTTTCATGCTTTTCACCAAGTGGGAAGGAATGTCCGTCTTTAAAAAGTCTTAATGCGAAGCTATTTGTTTCTTTGTTTCTGGTCCCAGGTTTAAAATGAGTCTCTTGAGCCTTAACCTTTAAGCTGGCTGTTAAACGTATTTTCATATTAGAAGTTATGTTCGGCTGATGCTCTCCCCAATCATACTGGGTTCTTGTGAAATGTGATACACTCTCTAAATCCAGCTCTCAGGGCATCCTGGACCTGTCTGTTCCTCAGGCAGTAAATGAATGGATTCAGGAGAGGAGACACGACCGTGTTCAGAAGGGCCACCCCTTTGTTGAAGTCTAATTCACTGGTGCCTTTTGGTTTTATGTACATGAGAATGCAACTACCGTAAGTGATGGAGATCACCATGGTGTGAGAAGCACAAGTAGAGAAAGACTTTTTCTGTCAGGAAAAAGCAGCAATGCAAAAGCCAGCTGCAGGTGTCTGGAATGCAAAACACAATGTTGATGTCTGTGACTGCACTATTGGAAGAAGGGGGCAGTCCATTCAGTGTACTGAGCACCGGATGTTAGCTCAGAGGGTCATGTGACCTGTACTGGAAGTACATGGGTGGAGTCTGTGTGGTCTTCTGCTAGAGACTGGAGTGTACAGACATGTTTCTCTGTACTGCTAGAATGACAGAAATAAAAGAGATGTAAATAGATTTCTGTCTGTCTCTTTTCTCCTCCCTGAGGGTAGCAGGGAGGAGGGAGGAGGGTGTGTCCCTCTCACGTTGAGTGGGATCGCCGATTTGTGACCTTGCCTGATCCTGCCGGGGGACGCAGACGGGAAGGTCAACTAGGATCTCAAGCCGAATGCCTGGAGTGAGGCCAGTTACCTCTGACTGTCGGCTGGGAGAATCCTATTGTCCCTATTGTAGATGGGATGCGCATGATGGTGGAAATAATATTGATATAGGATGCAATGTTTATAGTCAAGGTCCCAAGGAGAGAAAGAGCAGCGGTGAGGAGAACCATGAGTTCCAGAAGACTTGTATCTGTGCATGCCAGTTTAATCAGAGGCCCAATGTCACAGAAAAAATGGTCCATGGCATTTGAACCACAAAAGGACATTTGAAATAATGTAATTGCTGGAGCCATGACAAGCAAAAATCCCCCAGCCCAAGAGCAGAGCACCATCAATGAGCAGGTTCGGCCATTCATTATGGTTGAGTAGTGAAGAGGGTTACGGATAGCCACATATCTGTCAATGGACATGACCGCCAGCAGAGCAAACTCTGTGGTTCCCACAACCAGGTATAGATACATCTGCATGAAACAACCAGGCAGAGAGATAGTTCGCTGGCCATTGACCAGGTTGGCCAAAGTTTTGGGGAG